CCGCCCCGCCCTCGCCCCCTCCGGTTGGCTCAGCGGCCCGTCCGTCAAGAACAGTGGCTGGGTGGGGCTTCCGGGAGTACGGTTGCGGGTGGTGACCTGAGAGCTGCGGCCTCTGGGGCCCAGAGAGCAGCAGTGGGGACGCAGAACTTGGGTGGCGGCTTCTCGAACGAGGCCACGGCCTGTGCGGTAGAGAGGGTCGCTAGGCCCGCTCCATACTGCGCCTCGAGGCCCTCCCTGATTCAGGCTGCAGTGTGCAGCCACTATAGACGCCCCTTGTTGAGGCCGAGGAAAGGCAGATGGTCTCTTGGGGACCCCTAGGTGACGCGGAGTCAGGACAGTGGCGGAGCGGCCTGGCTCCGGGGCGGTGCCCACCCGTCTCCCCCATCCGAGGCAGGCTTGCAGCTTCACTGGGGCCTTGGTGGGCACAGCAGTGCGCCCCAGAGCTGGGCGGGGCAGGGACCCCCTTGCATCCCTAGCTAAGGCGCAGCCCCGCCGCGCCCTCGGAGCAGGGCTTCCCTTAACACCACCTTCCCTCAACTTGGGCAGGCCGGGTAGACTACTCCGCCCACCCAGCTCACCCCAAACCCGGAGGCGCCACTGCGCCAGGAGCTCAAGTGTGACCCAGTCGACAAACTGCATCCAACCTGAAAGTTGCCGTAAGAGATGCACTTAATCTCCCCCACCCAAGTACAAACACGCACATCCTGTCTCTTTTTGAAACAAACATGTTTTTTAAACATTTTTTAAAATTCTGAGATTTCCTTATTATTATTTCCTTATTAAAATAAAGAAAAGACGTAACTCCTCCCATGGCCAAGCCCTCCCGACCAGCTCTGTGCTGTCCTCGGAGCTCGCTCGTCTTCCAGGGCTTGCCCTCTGCCGGCCTCAGCTGCTGCCCCCAGTCCCTGAGCTGTGGTGATGCCGCGTTTGCGGTTCTGCCCAGCGGGCCGACCCAGATCCGGGCCAGCTCTCGGAGTAGATTGCCGGGTAAGAGGCAGTTAACTGCAAACGGGTCGTGGCGTCCCTTGCGGGCCGGGCACTCAGATCCGCTCCAAGTGTCAGGTCCTCATTTTCCCTGGTCCTTGGAGGAGCTGCCCACGGCACTTATTTTCGTGTGGCATCGGTCACATTCTCAGGCGGAGGTCAATGCCGCCGGTCTTGACCTCGAGGGCGACCCTCCAACCTGGGAAGGTGGGCGCAGGCCTGGTGCCAGAAGTGCCTCAACCGCGAGGAATCAAGGCGCGTGCCCGACGAACTGCCCCGCCCCCAGGCGCGAAGCCACGAGGGGAATGGCATCTGCCGTCTGGGCCCACCCCGCGACTTGTCCCCCTGCCTCCCAGCCCCCTTCGCCCCCTGGAGAGGCGTCCCGGCGAGTGCCGGGCTGTGCCAGCCTAGCCCGCAGCCAGCTTGGCCGCGACCCCGCCCCTCCGGTCTGCCCTACCAACTGTTGCTAAGGGGCGTGACTCAGCTCTGCGGAGCCCGAGATTTCCGTGGCTCATGAATATTTGAGTATTCAAATGAGGCCCCGCCCCGTTTCCATGGCGCCCGGGCCCGCAACCCCGCGGCCGGAAGAGCAGCCTGGAGTCGCGAAGAGAGCCCAGTGGGAGAGGGGGCTCACGGCCGAGCCCCCAGGGTGGGGGCACCCGGG